ACAGAAAAATATAGATATTATTGTGCTTACCGAAACGTGGATGAATGTAGAAAAGAGAACTATTTGCAGAATATCAAAAATGGATTTAAACCATTTCACACATTAGACGAGGAGGGGGAGTAGCCATATACGTTAGGGACAATTAGAAATGTAGTCTCAAAGAGGGAATCAAATCTGAGCCCCACACAAACTATTTGGATAGAATTAAACGAAAAAGCAAATAATATTATAATAGGAGTTATATATAGGCCACCAAATTTAGACAGAATGGAAGCAAAGCATCTATGGGATGAAATATCTAGATCGAAAAGTTTTTGTCATGGGTGACTAATTTTAGTGGAATAAACTGGTTGAACAAAACGGGGAATAATGAAGCAGAAGATTTTCTATAATTGACGATTGCTTTCTTTCGCAACACAATTAAGGAACCAACGCGGGAAAATATTTTAGATTTAGTGTTAACTAACAGGGGAACACAAATTAAGGACATCGAAATAGGGAGTGAGCTAGGGAACAGTGATCATAAAGAAATCAGATTTAGCATAGAATGGAATAGATCTGTAGGAGAAAATTTTGTTAAAGTACCCGATTTCGAAAAGCTAATTTCAATAGCCTAAGAAATTTTTTGAGTCAAATATATTGGAAAATCTTGGGTATGGAGTGTGGGCCGGTCTTGGAGCTAGACGTGAACCCAGCGATAGGTGACGTAAAAGGGGTTTTCGATGTGGGTTCAAAATATAACTCTGGTGTGTGTTACCGAGGAAGTCTTGGTTGTAGGGTTGATATAAAGCCATGGCTTGGTTATTTACTTTAATACTTAAACTGATACATGACTTGATACGCCAGGAATGGACCTCTTTAAGCACGGGGAGCCAGCTGACGCTTGGCTGCAGAGCCAGTACGATGGATCCATAAATGCACAGGAGAAAAAGAGGAATTCAGGTAAGATGTCAATCAAGTTGCTTTTAAAGTTTAGTGTGTGTGATGTTTGTCTATATATAATGGGCCCTATGCACCCTCTTCACAAAGTCGGTGGATGTATGTGTTGGAGACCCGTGGCGTGGGATTCGGCTTGCGTAGTAGTTCTGGGGTCCCTTGGTTTGCAGTTAAATCAGGATACAGGTGGATAATAGTCTAATTCACCCCCCTGTGTTACAAGAGATTGGGCAGAAACCTTGCAATTGAATGTAAAACCAGGTAAAAAATCATTAAGTGCACATGATAATGTACCGATTAAGGTCTAATGGCAAGGTGTCGGCAAAAGTAGGTTATAATGGAAAAGAAATTGCCCAAGATTTTTTTGAAGTGGATTCACAATTCTAGCCTATGTGGTAAGGATCATGGAAAAAGTGGGAATTTTCTTGGCAAGACCCTTCAGGTGGGGGCAACTAGTGATACCCATCCTAATAATGAAGGGGTAGCAGCACCAGCAAGAGACAGGGAGGCACAGCAAGGGGCAACAGAGTGTAATGGAGATACAGTTAACCCTATGGACTCTATAGGTAGTAATTCAGAAGAAATTAACAGGTAGGGACTCTAGAAAATCAGGAAGAGTCATACGACCGCCCGATAAACTCTACCCCTACAGGTTAAGTCTAATTAAAAGGGGGAGGAATTTTGGGATTGAGTACTACAGATGTTGGAGGTAGCATGTTTGGAGCAGCTGCTCGTTTATGATCTTGTAAATAGTAATTCATGTACCTGATAGTTTTTTTGTTGTTGGTCGAGGAAAAAAACCATGTGGACAAAGATTGTTTCTCTTCAGCCTTCAACCATAAGTTCTTACATTCATGTACAGACACTAGCACGCATTGCATTTCGGGCAAGTCCTTAATTCTATGTTCCACGGAATACGACTGCCAAATCTTTCAACAAACAGGTACCCATTTTACTGTTGGGTAAACAGAGGCTACAGGCAAGGTTTGACACTTAGTAAATCTTCCCCGGCCAGAATACTGTATCAAAGCAGTACCAAATATTGTAGAAAATTCTCCGGCCTTCAATATCCGAGGCCATGCTCACCAGATACTACTACACCAATGGCCAGCACCCCATCTATAGACCCCGTCAAGCCTAGAGAAACGACTCCAATACCGGCAAGCACCTGCTCCCCTCCCCCCCCCCCCCCCACCGATCGTGAGACCTGCAGGTCAACCAGCGCCAGGACGTGACCCAGGAAGGTCAACACCGGCCCCAGACCATTCTGGAACAATGGAAACTACAGATAATGAAACTACAACCTTGGAAGACAACTTCGTTACCGCCTACCTAGTCAACAAACCCTAGAATGAAGATCTCGCGTACCCTATGGATCACATTTGCCTGTCAGGGGGAGTGGACAGCGCTTCAGGTTAGTCCTGAGGTTCCGGGTTCGATCCCCAGTGGAGGCGGAGACAAATGGGCAAAAAGCTTTTCACCCTGAAGCCCCTGTTACCTAGCAGTAAATAGGTACCCGAGAGAGAGCTGCTATTGGCTGCTTCCTTGGCGTGTGTAACAAAAAAAGAGGCCTGGCCGAGGACTAGGCCGCGGGGCCGCTAAGCCCAGAAATCATGATAACCTCAAGATATACCCACGAAGGATAAGACATCTCATCCGACATCCAGAAGGAAGTATTACCATAAACGTCGACGCAGAATCATTTAAACAAGGGGTACATGCGTGAACTGCAGACCTCAGATTCTTACTCCACAACCCAAGTCACCCAGCCTTGCCAATGACATGTGATAGCCTATGTCATGTTCATAGCAAATGGCACCATCCGTTTGTAGGCGCTGCGTTTCATACGCCACTTGGGTAAACAGAGCGTACAGGACACCCGCCAAGCTTGGACTCTGCTTGTCATGTATCATTATAAATATTGAAGTCTGTGATTGATGAAGATTAAGCCACCCAAAAGATGGCACGGACATGAATAGCCCGTAAGTGGTGGCCCTTTTGAGCCATTACCAGTATCAATAGCCGATACTGGAGATCTGTGGAGGCGAGACTGCACCCTCCGGAGAGGTCGTGACCTCTGGGTTTGAAGTCGGTAACGAAGCAATGGATTTATATGAAACCTACAACCAAGACTTCCCAAACAACAAAACCACAGCCCACACTATAACCGAGAAACACGGAGACGGCAGCAAGACTAACCAGCGTCGACTACATCGACCTACAAGTTGTGGCGGCCTGCTAGCAACTACCTACTCAGTCCACCAAGCAACCCAAGCAAAAAGTCCAAGTTGTATCAAGACCTACTCCAGCAGTCTGCCAAAACCAGAACCAACTGAAGGCAGCCGCCTTCACCGTCCCCTCTTTATAGGGATGGTGACCTAATTTTGCCACTTTGTAATTATATATATATACAGCTAGTGAAACTGAATTGACAGACACTGAATATGCCCTTAAAGAAGCACAGAAGGAACTGGATAATCCATTTGAGGAATATAGCTCTGGTACTGATGAAGAGTTTTGTATTCTTGATGGACCTGGCACAGGAATAAAGTCTCCATCTGGTGAACCTCAGGTGCGTATCTTGACTCAGGATCCTGTTGTCATTTTTTGGGGGGGGGATATATACAAGAGTTGTTACATTCTTGTACAGCCACTAGTACGCGTAGCGTTTCGGGCAGGTCCCTGGAATACGATCCCCTGCCGCGAAGAATCTTTCATCCAAGTACACATTTTACTGTTGAGTTAAACAGAGGCTACAGTTAAGGAATTGCGCCCAGTAAATCCTCCCCGGCCAGGATACGAACCCATGACATCGCGCTCGCGGAACGCCAGGCGAGTGTCTTACCACTACACCACGGAGACTTTATTGACAACCACTTCACTGTTCCTCTTGGCAAAGTTGATCAACTGAGGGCTCCTAAACACTTTCCTGCTGCATCAATGAAGTATACTCTTCAAGAGTTAACAGTCGTGTGGCACATGCACTTGTGACACTTTTTTAATTAATTAAATAATTAAATAATTACACACACACAGTCCTAACATTATTTTAGTCACTAGCACGCATAGCGTTACGGGCAGGTCATTAATCCTAATATTCCCCGGATTACGACCCGCCAAATCTTTTAACAAGCAGGTAACCATTTTACGGTTTGGTAAACAGAAGCTACGGTTAAGGATTGGCAGCCAGTAAATCTTCGCCAGCCAGGATACGAACCCAGGCCAAAGCGCTCGCGAAACCCCAGGAGTGTTACCACTCGCCAATTGGTGAAAGCCATATCCGCCTTCGTAAAACCGACGTGGCTATTCTTCAGCTATACACACTTCCCCGTTCACCCAAAGGGTATCTATCTCTCATTCAGGTTCCCTCCGGACCTCACCCCCTAACAACGTACACACTACTAACTTACCGTTTACTTGAATAATGAAATTTCTCCACCTTAACTGCTTGGGTCTTTACCGCTTTACTGCATCTGACGTTATTGATAACTTGCTACCAAGTACCTTATACTTGCCGCTCTAGTACAGTTAACTCAATCGAATCTTTATCCAGGTGATCCGGACCCCTTCAGGAACAGTAAGTGGTTTATACTTTTTGAAGAAGCTTTTGTAATATGTTCCGAGACATAGTCCATGCTCACGGCTTTTGAAGAAATCTAGGCAAAATATTCCCCCCCCCCCCCCTCTCCCTGGCAAAACCTCCCTGGGCCCCTTGACCAATAGAAATTTTATTTTACAAATTTCTCAAAAAAGTATACATTGTAAATCGTGAACCCAAGATGAATCGATATTTCATGAACTTCGTACATGTTAAACTTTTGTTTTTAATTATACTTTACGTTACTGCAGTTTGAAAGTTTCATCCTCACAACGACTGCACACGCTTATTAACCCTTTACTTAAGGCCCGCTCGATCCCAGAGAGTACGGCCAAAACCGTCAGTCTTGAACATTAAAGAACTTACTCTAGCAGCAAGTTCCACGAAGACGGGATCTAACATGGAGAGGAAACTCCAATAACCATTAGAGTATGATCATTCACACTGTTAAAACCACTAAACTAACCTGCTGCTCATCGTGTGTCGGGTATCACCTCCTCGCTTCCCTGACACACTCGTAACTGCGTCCGTCCCCTGTAGTGCGAGACTGAACACTGAGAGCCAGCCGCTTCCCTCCCTGACTGTATACACACTTGTCCACCAATCACCAGCCATCAAATTATTCCGCCAACCAATAGCAACTTGCCATATCTACCGCCAGCGAATCAGATTTCAGCTCATACCCAGTCCAAATTACAGACGTCGTCTTCCAGCAATAACAAATACTCAATAGCGTAGGACTGTTGTTTCAGCAGTTATCATTTTCCATTAAAAAAAAATACTTTTTACTCACGAAAGTATTTTAAAAATCTCATGTCACTATGCATGTATTTGCAATTGTAAATGAACATAATACATACACTATGTATGTATTTTAAAACTACAAATGAGCATCATACATTAGTAGGCTCAGCAACGAGTGTCGGTGTTGCTATAGTAACTTTGTTTTGTTTAGAATAATATACGAAAGTTTTGTTCTTCAATAATTATGTATACCCCAGACTCATCTCGTGGACTGTATTGTACCCCATACCCATCCTGTGCATATTATTGGACCCCTCTCCCATACCCACTCTGTGGATAGCATTGGACCCCATACCCACTCTGTGGATAGCATTGGACCCCATACCCACTCTGTAGACAGCATTGGACCCCATACCCACTCTGTAGACAGCATTGGACCCCATACCCACTCTTTGGATAGCATTGAACCCCATACCCACTCTGTAAACAGCACTGGACCCCATACCCACTCTGTGGATAGCATTGGACCCCATACCCACTCTGTGGATAGCATTGGACCCCATATCCACTCTGTGAATAGCATTGGACCCCATATCCATTCTGTGGATAGCATTGGACCCCATATCCACTCTGTGGATAGCATTGGACCCCATACCCACTCTGTGGATAGCATTGGACCCCATACCCATTCTGTGGATAGCATTGGACCCCATATCCACTCTGTGAATAGCACTGGACCCCATACCCACTCTGTGGATAGCATTGGACCCCATACCCACTCTGTGGACAGCATTGTACCCCATACCCACTCTGTGGATAGCATTGGACCCCATACCCACTCTGTAGACAGCATTGGACCCCCATACCCACTCTGTAGACAGCATTGGACCTCCATACCCACTCTGTAGACAGCATTGGACCCCATACCCACTCTGTGGACAGCATTGTACCCCCATACCCACTCTGTAGACAGCATTGGACCCCATACCCATTCTGTGGATAGCATTGGACCCCATATCCACTCTGTGGATAGCATTGGACCCCATATCCACTCTGTGAATAGCATTGGACCTCATACCCACTCTGTGGACAGCATTGTACCCCATACCCACTCTGTGGACAGCATTGGACCCCATACCCATTCTGTGGATAGCACTGGACCCCATATCCACTCTGTGAATAGCATTGGACCTCATACCCACTCTGTGGACAGCATTGTACCCCATACCCACTCTGTAGACAGCATTGGACCCCATACCCACTCTGTAGACAGCATTGAACCCCATACCCACTCTGTAGACAGCATTGAACCCCATACCCACTCTGTGGACAGCATTGTACCCCATACCCACTCTGTGGATAGCATTGGACCCCATACCCACTCTGTGGACAGCATTGTACCCCATACCCACTCTGTGGATAGCATTGGACCCCATACCCACTCTGTGGACAGCATTGTACCCCATACCCACTCTGTGGACAGAATTGGACCCCCATAGGCGGTAGTGGAACGGTTACTGCCACACTTACTATCTACAGTTAGCAAATTGTGAATATTGGGCAAAAATTCCAACTAGTGGATCATTGTGAATGAAATATTTGCACAGTTGCCGTAAATTTGTTTTAAATCTGTTTCTAAATTCACGTATTTTTTCGCATTCCATGACATAGTGACGGAGAGTGTGGGAATATTTTGCGTGATTTGATAAAATGCTATGCCCAAGATTACCCACCCTCCGAGTGCCGGCGGGGAAGTGGTTCAAATAGCTTCGGCTATCACTTCCTTATGTCCGGTCGTGATGGTCAAGCGGATTAAGGCGTCCTGTAGATACCAGTTGCGTTGTTCCTGGCAGTATGTGGCAGTATGAGTTCGAGTCACTTCTGGGGTGTGAGTTTTCAGTCATATATATATATATATATATATATATATATATATATATATATATATATATATATATATATATATATATATATATATATATATATATATATATATATATATATATATGTCGTACCTAGTAGCCAGAGCGCACTTGTCAGCCTATTATGCAAGGCCCGATTTGCCTAATAAGCCAAGTTTTCATGAATTAATATATTTTCTCTAATTTTTTTTCTTATGAAATGATAAAGCTACCCATTTCATTATGTATGAGGTCAATTTTTTTTTATTGGAGTTAAAATTAACGTAGATATATGACCGAACCTAACCAACCCTACCTAACCTAATCTAGCCTATCTTTATAGGTTAGGTTAGGTAGCCGAAAAAGTTAGGTTAGGTTAGGTTAGGTTAGGTAGGTTAGGTCGTCGAAAAACAATTAGTTCATGAAAACTTGGCTTATTAGGCAAATCGAGCCTTGCATAGTAGGCTGAGAAGTGCGTTCTGGCTACTAGGTACGACATATATATATATATATATATATATATATATATATATATATATATATATATATATATATATATATATATATATATATATATATATATATATATTAAGACGACAACGTTCTTTAAACTAAACAATTTACATTTGCGGTGAGCTGCACAGTTGGTTTCGTTCTCGATTCACAATCGGGGATCCCGGATTCGATTCCCGGGCGGGACGAATATGGTTGGAGACGTTTCCTTTTACCTAATTACCCGTTCACCTAGCACTACATAACAGCTACTCCACGGTCTGATAGTTACTCCACGTTCTGATAGTTACTTCACGTTCTGATAGTTACTTCACGTTCTGATAGTTACTTCACGTTCTGATAGTTACTTCACGTTCTGATAGTTACTTCACGTTCTGATAGTTACTTCTCGTTCTGATAGTTACTTCACGTTCTGATAGTTACTTCACGTTCTGATAGTTACTTCACGTTCTGATAGTTACTTCACGTTCTGATAGTTACTTCTCGTTCTGATAGTTACTTCACGTTCTGATAGTTACTTCACGTTCTGATAGTTACTTCACGTTCTGATAGTTACTCCACGTTCTGATAGTTACTTCACGTTCTGATAGTTACTTCACGTTCTGATAGTTACTTCACGTTCTGATAGTTACTTCACGTTCTGATAGTTACTCCACGTTCTGATAGTTACTCCACGTTCTGATAGTTACTTCACGTTCTGATAGTTACTTCACGTTCTGATAGTAACTTCACGTTCTGATAGTTACTTCACGTTCTGATAGTTACTTCACGTTCTGATAGTTACTTCACGTTCTGATAGTTACTTCACGTTCTGATAGTTACTTCACGTTCTGATAGTTACTTCACGTTCTGATAGTTACTTCATGTTCTGATAGTAACTTCACGTTCTGATAGTTACTTCACATTCTGATAGTTTCGAATACCTAACCTACTAACCTAACCTAACCTAGCTTTTTCGGCTTTACCTAACTAACCTAACCTATAAAATATAGGTTAGGTGAGGTTTGGTAGGGTTGGTTAGGTTCGGTCATATATCTACGTTAATTTTAACTCCAATAAAAAAAAATTGACCTCATACAGAGAGAAAAGGGTTGTTTAAATCATTTCATAGAAAAAAATTATAGACAATATAATAATTCTGGAATACTTGGCATATTAGGCAAATCGGGCCTTGCATAGTAGGCTGAAAATATGCGTTATTTGGCTACTAGGTACGACATATATATATATATATATATATATATATATATATATATATATATAATATATATATATATATATGTCGTACCTAGTAGCCAGAACGCACTTCTCGGCCTACTATTCAAGGCCCGATTTGCCTAATAAGCCAAGTTTTCCTGAATTAATATATTTTCTCTAATTTTTTTTCTTTTGAAATGATAAAGCTACCCATTCATTATATATATATATATATATATATATATATGTCGTACCTAGTAGCCAGAACGCACTTCTCAGCCTACTATGAAAGGCCCAATTTGCCTAATAAGCCAAGTTTTCATGAATTATTTGTTTTTCGACTACCTAACCTACCTAACCTGACCTAACCTAACTTTTTCTGCTACCTAACCGAACCTAACCTATAAAGATAGGTTAGGTTAGGTTAGGTAGGGTTGGTTAGGTTCGGTCATATATCTACGTTAATTTTAACTCTAATAAAAAAAAATTGACCTCATACATAATGAAATGGGTAGCTTTATCATTTCATAAGAAAAAAATTAGAGAAATATATTAATTCAGGAAAACTTGGCGTATTAGGCAAATCGGGCCTTGCATAGTAGGCTGAGAAGTGCGTTCTGGCTATTAGGTACGACATATATATATATATATATATATATATGTCGTACCTAGTAGCCAGAACGCACTTCTCAGCCTACTATACAAGGCCCGATTTGCCTAATAAGCCAAGTTTTCATGAATTAATGTTTTTTCGACTACCTAACCTACCTAACCTAACCTAACCTAACTTTTTCGGCTGCCTAACCTAACCTAACCTATAAAGATAGGTTAGGTTAGGTTAGGTAGGGTTGGTTAGGTTCGGTCATACATCTACGTTAATTTTAACTCCAATAAAAAGCAATTAACCCCATACATAATGAAATGAGTAGCTTTATCATTCCATAAGAAAAAAAATTAGAGAAAATATATTAATTCAGGAAAACTTGGCTTGTTAGGCAAATCAGGCCTTGCTTAGTAGGCTGAGAAGTGTGTTCTGGCTACTAGGTATGACATATATAAATATATATATATATGTCGTACCTAGTAGCCAGAACTCACTTCTCAGCCTACTATTCAAGGCCCAATTTGCCTAATAAGCCAAGTTTTCCTGAATTAATATATTTACTATAATTTTTTTCTTATGAAATGATAAAGCTACCCTTTTCACTACGTTAGAGGTCAATTTTTTTTTATTGGAGTTAAAATTAACGTAGATA